TATTTTAATTAGTTTTATGATCTGTCTTGTGCGCTGTGTAATTTAAATTTATCTTTACCTTTGTAAAAATTGCTATGCAATGTATTGTCCTATTGTATAGCAGACTGAACACATCCCTTTTACTGTCATTGTTAATCTATATCATTTTAAATGTCCTGTCATTGATAATTTTAAAAACTAGGTGACAAATTAAATGGAGGAATACATTTGAAAGGGCTTTTTTCTGTGGTACTAAAATTATACCCACCTGTCAGATTTAAGATGTGAAGAATAATCAAGGCCATTGAAACTTATATATAGCGGTTGAAAATAATCCATCTGAATGACTTGGTTATCCTCAAAACATTGTACCGGGGTAAGTATACTTTGCAGGCATTCTAAAGTCTAATAGTGTATACAGTATAGAACGATAGTGGGATTGCTATTAAACTGTGACTGGCATTGCAGCTCTCATATCTGTGTCTTGGGACAAATATTAATTATGCAAATCATAATTAACATCTTTAATTCCAACATGCTATTTATATGAACAATTTCATGTCTCCGTGCTGATCGTGGTCAATTTGAAATTCAATTATTTTATCTCCATGGGCGCAGCAATAAAGAAAACTGTTTCGCCCAGACAATTTAATTTCTGATGCTTTTCTTTATATATTTCAGCTCAGCCAACAGGTGGTTTAATAGCCAATTCTTTGCAGTCCAATGGATATCAGCAGGGGGTGTTCATTGATGTTTAATATAACATTCAATACCAGCATGCGAGAGTTGATTGAAAAATTCAATCTTAATTGGAAGTAGAGTAATGAAACACGGCAGAGAATGGACATTTTTGCTATTGAATCTAAAGCAATATACTAACCTGTGGGGCGCTAAGTGGCGGCAAGTGAGCTATAATCGTAGGACGATGTTGTAGTTCAAAATCATTGGGTTGTGCTGCTAAGTGGTGCACTGGAACATTCTGCAATTGAAAAAAAAAAACAGAAATCAATGGCGAAATAGAAAAGGTAGTTACTAAACAAGTTCACACATATAGTCATTGAAATTCAACATAATATTTTTTCAGTATTTTTGTTATTAAAATCATAATATTTATATTTTTCAAAACATAATACTAATTGTGGACAGGTAGTATTGCCTGAATTGTTTTTTTTATTTTAGGTTTGACTTTTTGTTTTCCAATGAAATAAGGTAATAAGTATTATTTCATTATTCATTGTTTATTGACACAAAATATTTATTTACATAATGTTTTTCACCAATCTTAATATATCTTTTAAGCATAGTTTAATTAAAGTAACCTAAAATAAAGTAAATATAAATATTACTGATGCTTTTAATAATATTTTTGAGTGTAAATCTTTCATTATAATATTTCTTACAATAAAAATACATGAATAGATTCACATTTTTAAATTTACTGCAATAATTCAGAATGATTGCAAATCTTTATATATTTCTGACATGCCCCCAATAAATACATCACATAATTAACCCACAACAACAATGAACTTAAAGTGGTGCCTTCAAATTATGTAAATCAAGTCATATTTACTAGCTTGTAATTTATGCAATACATTCAAGTTACATTCCCAAAGCTGAATTCACAAAATGATATGTACCTGTTATACCAAGTATATAATTACTGCAGTGACGCCAGATGGAGGTCAGCCTTGGAATGAAATGTTATACTGAGTATGTGCAATTATGTAATAGCACGCAAACTAATGTTTCCTGTTTATATTTCTAATTCATTCTAGTATTTATTTATTTATTTTTTGTTTGTTTTTTATATGGACTCATTTGTCTGAAATAAAGAATAATATATATTGCATTAAAAATGTCAGATTTGTTTGTTTCTTCTAGAAATATTCTCCTTTGTGTCTAATACTAATGATCCGATCACAGCATAGATTTAGACAGTTTAAGTAAGAATAATATATTGTCAATAGGTAATCCCATTTACCATTGCTAATCCATAAGATTATCCAGGCATTGAATCAAATTTCAGCATTAAATTGAAGTGTCACATCACAATGCTGTGTCTGTGCATTACCTAAAGTATAACAACATGGGTAAACCCCTCAGGCTCACGTTCTATAATATATCAAAATATAAAATCCATCCATTGCAACTGTCCTGGTAATTTACGACTACAGTCCATCATCATCTTGTATATTGTCTGTTTCTAGCCCCCCTCCCCACCCTCTTGATGTATATCTCTAGAAACTGTTTTCTATTCAAGATGATTGATATATACATGTTGCTAGGCAACACAACACAAGAATCAATAATATCATATGGAGCAACATATTGAATGGCTATTTATGAATGTCAGTTCTCTCCTTTCTGAAGTGAATTATTGCAGTAAACTTCAACTTTTGACCTTACAGCAGCTCAGAGTTTGCATACCCAATTTGTTTGTGCTGGGTGATGTAATTGACATTTATCTCCATTTTAAAAATATCATTTTGGCATGAACTAACATATTCTACTAAATATTCATCTTTTGCTTTGAAACAAATTAAAAATACCCCACCTTCAATAAAAAAAAAATTCGTTTTTGCAATCACACAAGTCAAATGTGAAAGTCTAATATTTTAATAGCTTTCCAGCCTCAGTGTGTTATTTTATCGATATATGTACGCACAGAATGTCACATTACTCCAAACTCATCCACAAGTGAATTCAACATAGTATTCGTTGCTGTTATTAATGAACCAGTGACAGTGAAAAGCCTGCGGTGAATTCATTTTCTGTGCAAGTGGTTAGACAATTTAATACTATACAAAACATGCACGATAATTTATCAACGTCGAAGAACACTTCATATATATATGTTGAGGCTAGCTGAAGATGCCGTTATCTGTTTTGGATGATGTAAATATATTCACACATATAAGCTAACAGAGCCACTGAGAAATAGGTGAAAGCTGTCCACCGCACGGACAAGTATTGTTCTGTGGTGTGTATTGTCTAAATGTTTTGTGTGAATAGAATGAAATACACGATTATATAAAGCAGTGTATGTCGTACAATGTCCCACTGTGTCCTTGGTCTAATATGTGTCATCTCTGTGTTATTCCAAGGCGTAGACAGAGGAGTGCTCACTACAAAGGGCAATCAACGGCGGTGCCAGTGATAAAGCTAGTAAACTGTTATCCAGTTGCGAAGTTAACACCAGTTAATAATTGTAAACCGTGCTCTTGAACTTTAGGGAAAATAAAACACTTGTCATGTTCTCCCCGCTAATAATGGCTCACATTTTATTTTATAGCGTCGTTGTTGAGTTATTGGCCCTCGCTTGTTCTTTACTACGAGAAAAGGACACAACACTTAAACTTTAATACCTCCACAGATGTTCCTGAATATACGACGACCATTCTCTTCTGCTACCATAGTTTAGATTCTAAAATTGTGTCCTGCAGTCACCTGCATAATTAATGCATCTCTGTAGTAGACAAAAAGTTCTGAATATATATATTTTTAATTCGGTATATCGTATATTATATATATTGGTCAGTAATGTATATATTTTCCGTTCACGTCAGCTTCGCTAAGGAAATGACAGGAGCAGGTGGTTCCTGTTTTCACCAGTCGTTTACTGTTTCTTAATGTACATGGATCACTGACATTGCCTATTAACCATATTGTATAGTGTATCCATCAACGACAGAAATTGCATTCTAGTGTTTAGTGCTCTTCCAGTGAAATGCGATAGGTGTGTCCTATTAAATATTGTGTTCCAGGGTTCCATCAAACTGTTTTGATATTTGGTTCGTTTCAGTCTTCAATAGAGTGATTTTCTTTGTTGTCGTTTCATTGTACACACTAATGCGGGATATTCTAGGGCGGGTTAAGTCCGCACATTTCATCGTATTCGTCTAGTGTATATACTAACTGATTGAGTCCTGCGTGTTAAGTGTAATTGCGTCTCGGAGAATTTCAATTTAGATTATATTGAATTCGGCGTGCTAGTATAATTATAGACTGCCCAATGTTAGTTCTGCTAGCCGTCTCGCCATCTCGTATAGTTGCAAATGTCGCATCGTCGCGATGAGATAGGAATGTATCCTTTTATCATTTTGTATATATAATATTTATTAAAATGTATTTTAATTTGCAATCCACATCATAATAATGAACTTACATTGCCGTATCGAGGAATAGGCGCAGTAGTATGCCTCCACCCATCAACATGTATGGTATCATGTATATTACTAGTAAAGTGTAGCACCGGTTGAAACATAAAACATGAGACCACGTCGACGCTGGTATGTAGGATTACCAATCGCCTGCGGAGGGATTTGGGAGGTATGAGCAAGGCTGTTTTTTTTTCTTCTGGTGTGCGATAAACAAAAGCACACTTTGTCTACACGTAACAGAAAGGCTTATGTGGATCAAAACAAGGTAGTTTTAATGAGGTGAGAATTGAATAAAAGCTAACAGAAAAGTGTCAATGGTGAAATGACGTGCCTATATACGTCGCATTCTGTTTATGTTAATATCTGAAGATATAGAAGCAATTTAGACGGTATAAGATGAGGTGGTTAGTGGAACTATCTCCTCCGCGATTATCCAAGAAAACCTACATTCTATGTCCTGAACTATGGATGCCACGTGATGATTTATAGCGTCCGGTCTCCATGGCAACCGCATTTATTCGAGCTGAATCCTCCGTGATAGAGTGGCAACACTTCGATATCAATTTAATCTGTTTGAAATTACCGATGAATCTTGTTATATCTGTTCTCGTCGAGTGTTGAATCGGAGAAGCAGAAGTACAACTCAATCTGTCGATGGTTTTATTAAAACAACGCGCTGTTATTATTGATGATTTCTAATTACAATCAGCATGTGTCCACGGCGTCCTTAAAGTCTCGGGTCGTTTTGCATATTACATGTTAATATTGAGCAATAGCACACAGTGGGGAGTAATTCTTGTTCATATTACTTTGCACGGACCTTCCAGCAATATACGTAACAAACTGACGCGGTTCCTGGCCTAAAATAAAATGCCTTTTCACAATACATGGTTTCTGAGTATTTAACATTTCTAAAAATCTGTACACTGATGTTCGCATGTTAATTGTTATAACTTTCACAATTCCAATATATTATGTTCCATAGGAATTGAATATCACAATGTAGAGATGCCCAGCAGTATAAAACTCAGTTACAGCTCCTTGAATCTCACTCGCCATTGTAATAGCCCTGAGGCGGCAAGTCATTGTTTATAGATAGAATTTCAAAATAATACGAGAATGTTTGTTGCAGCCAGAAGCACCAACGCAACGCAAATTAGATAGTAACACGATGATATGGTCGGTATTCGGTAGTTATAATAGCACGTATGTGGGAATGAATAGTCTTTATTCGATTTAGGAGCCTAACAGTGGTTTGAATCGGATTACGGTCCTTGTAAACGCACCGGCGTGAAATACTCTACAGCCAGAATAATAATATCCAAAATAAATGAACAAGTACACGATCGATTGACCAATGCGGTGTGAAAATAACCAGACAAGTCATACTAAATTACAATCAATATACGCTGATTGTAGAGACTATGATAAATTTATTTCATTCAAACGCGTACCACATTACGGTAATTGCAAGGCACGTTTAACCATTTTACCGCGCTGCCTGCTTTGTGGTCCTTTTTAAAGACTTCTGAAGGAAATAACCCGAATTCGACCTCGAAACGTGTCAGTATTCAACATGTTGTCTGTTCGAGTTGAGCCGATGAGTTGCGGTGAATTCAAAGTAATAACACTGGTGCTACCGTAGAATGAATACACCTTATAGGTTTGGGTGTGTTGACTTGGGTGTGTGTGCACGGACTACAAATATGTGCGGTTTAGACAAATGTTGTCTCCCGGAACAAATATATAGTATTGCTGCTAACTTAATTTTCGATTGAAATAACGACGAGTTACTTGTATTTTAATATACGAGGTAGGCGTATACATACATTTACGGGTTTAAGTATTGAATGTCAACGTCGATCGAACTAAATGGTCGGGCACTTCCTTACCCACTATTACTATATATCGTCGGCATATCGCTCAATTTCAACAAACACCTACCCTGACATCTAATGATACCGTGCAACATGACGCACGGCAGTGTGCTGTGCCTACTCCACGTCAATATTTAGGGCTAAACACCGAGACAGCACTCTCTGTGAGGACTGTGTCGATTGTTGTGGTCGAAAGAAAAACATTGATATTGTAAAGCGTACATGTTTCTGGTTGTAAAGCTTGCCTTGTCTAGAGGCGATGATTTTACTGAGTACGAGAATGAATATACAGTAGAGTGCGATTGGGTTACCCTCCTTCGGCAGTGTTGATCAGAGCGATATCCGAAGTAAAAGAAATGTGGACCACTATACGTCGCCTACAGTCAGCGTATAGGATTATATACCGTGATCTTATCGATACGAGTGCTGAGACTTAACGTGAACTAATGGTCGGTGCTCTATAAACCGCTGGCTGTTAATCGAGTTACCCCTAGGTGTGCAGTCTGTAGTGTTGTCATCGACGTATACTGGGTTGAAATGTCCCCCCATGTGCTTCCTTTTTACGGGGAAACTTGATTAATAGTGTCCAGAATGAACGACTGCCTTACCTCTTTACTCGTCATTCTGTAGTATCTCTCATTAAAACTTCGACAGTCTATATCCTATTAAGCTAATCATCTCTCACAGCGATCGAGATACATCGATCGAATATTCCGTACTGTATTTGCGCCCACCGAATTTAAGCATTACAGATATTCCAAGTATATACATGTATATATGTAGACTCCCATTCAGTGTGTATGGTATGGCTTCCGAAGACCTGTGTGTGTATATCCTACAACTTTGGAGTTATCGTGTTTTGTCCACTGCGTATGCGTACAGTGGATATGTAGATACGGTCTCTAAGAGATGCGAACCTGTTGAATATTAATAAGCTAACGAGATTCCCCGTCGCTCTGCCCTTTGTTGTCCGGTGGAATACTTGAAACGTTGGAGACGCACTTGTTGCACAAGCATGCACCCGAACACAATAAAAGTCGAAGTTCAAAATAAAAATAGTATTGTTGGCAAACGAAGAGTCGTGAATAGGAGACACTTTGTATTACGGAAGTTAAGTATCACAACAACAACCGAAAAACCCCGGGGAATTTAAAAGTCGGATTAAATGAAGAATACTCGGTTGTGATTGTTGTCTCGTGGGGAGCTATGATTGTATAAAATCAATTAAAGCTTCATTATTAATTTGATCGACTTTTTAACGGGGAGGGTAGGGAGTTATTCTATGACCCAGGTCAATCATAATTATATCAGGCTGATTTATCATCTCGACACCTCGACTATTGTCTGCCAATACAGTGGCATAATTATGCTTCTGTTCAATACACGGTGATTATAACCGATCATGATCAATATTTTGTAATTGGTTGTAATTTATATATTTTTTTAAATCGATATCTTCATATCATCGCATTTTTGTCGTCATGTTTTATTTGACTGTATCCGCACCCTTTGAAAGGTTGATCTCTTAGTGGTGTGACGTATCAGTCTTCATTTATCACGCCATACCCATTGACTGTGCGGGTAGTCTCGTATTATTAACTCGCGCCACCAAGCGGCAGAGTCAATGGAACCTAGGTAGCGCAAGTCTTGCAAATCGTTGTCACGTATATTCTGCGGTATCCATGCAAACCGGTTGCAATATACTTTGTGATCAAGTTCACAAGCTCAGCAAATAGACTTTCTGTAAATGAAAAGTAATTGCGTCCTGTGGTCACATGTTCACCACACATGTTTCGCTCTGTCTTCTTTGTTTTCAAAAAAGTGCGACGACTCCCTGTGAATGAGGCGCAACATTGTCGGGACGGGGAACGTTGGGGAAGGCAGCTTCAGCAGAAATAAAAATTGCCTTCCTCTGACCAGGCTGTCATATATATTATATAGGTTGAGACGTTTTTAAACTAATAGTTCAAGTTATACTCGAAATTTATACCCTGACTACAGTAAAATAAATAGCGCACGTCTTGATTGGTTCCGAGTCGATCGAGACGAAACTTGTTGCACTGTACACGGCGTTTTAAAGGGAGACTGACAGTTGTTATTTTTAATACCGTTTATAATAATAATAATAATAATAATAATACAATATAATTCAACAGATATTTATTCAAGTTTACCACACACTCACACATTTTGGTGCCATACCAATCTTATTATTTTTAACAATTCCAAAAATATGAAAAAATAGAGCTTATACCTATATCGGATTTTGATAAGATTGGTGGCATACATACACATTGATAATATTTTAAATATTCTACTATTCCATAAGTGTAATTAAATTACATAATAATTTACATTGATTATTGCAGTGAATAAATATTCCACACAAACGAGATTTTGCATTTTAGAAGATAAACCCAGTTTTTATCTTGCTGTGATGTGTTCACTGAACATGGCTCAACATATTATTACATGCGGCAGTGTGGTTAGTTTTCGTTGGAGGCTGTTGAGATTGAGATAGTCAACTGAGCTTTGACACGCCGTACTATATTTTTTTGTATCATGTAATGACCGCTGGTTATAAACATTGCACTTGTCTGTCGCTATGCTCATCTAGATATGACATTTCCAACCAGGATGCCTATACCTAACGTTAATGCCTACGAGTATAGTAGAGATTAACCACACGGACCTTAATGTTCAAAGTGCATGACCAAAATGCTTATTATCTGGCCCGTATTCACATCTACTTTTACAACACATTGCACGAAAGAATCTATAAGACTCTCTAGAAACTTTTCATGTCACGATATTTGAACTAACTTTGATTTGATTTGGGGTTTAATTTCACTTATTGCATGATGAAAGAGTCTAGAATAGAATCTTACAGGAATCTCTACCACTGCTACGTTCAAATGGTTCCTCCCACCGTGTCCGCGGGGGTGCAGTTCATATAATAGCGACTTATCGAAGATGATTTGAGTTGACCCATGCATGCGTACCAGATTGCATGCGCCGATGAGTGATATCATTAAGTTCTTTTCGGATCTAGTCAGGTGGCACGTCGCATCAATAATGACAATCGTGCTGCCACCATGGTGCTGCGGTCAACTGTGCCGTAGTTTGGCTTGACTTTATGCTTCGTTTAACTTAATGGGAATTCGTATTCTTATTCTGTGTGTTTTTGTTTCTAATCTTACATTTCACGATCAACGGGTTTGTAAAAACATGTTTACATGTTTTAGTTGACGTTTGCTGTGTAGGTATGTAAAGATTAGTTCTGGTGTATACGAGACGATGCGTGACGCTATATATCGTAGTGGCGCATCGAAACTTTCCTCGAACAATTCCTTCAGTAGTCGGCGGATTTAAACGCCGGGAAGCCACTGTTCCATACCTCTGTCCCCGTATGCCAATCTCAATATGCGATCCCACAAGTTTCACATACTGGATATATGTTGCTTAGAAATACAAGTAACCACTATACAAAAGAGGAAGTCTACGTTCGGACAGAATTGAAGATTATTTTCTTCATACCAGACTTCGCAATATTGTGGAATTGGGGATTTGTTCGGTTATCTGTTGAAAGCCCGAGTATTTCTTCAAATTTATTTGCTGAAAAAGTTATATGTTGTTACTGATATGAGTCTTATGTTAAAACAATTTGTTTTATTTAGTGAGTTTTCAGTGTGGTAACATTTGTTTCAGTACATGCTACTAAAAATATCCTCTCATAATTAAATGCAAATATGTGCAGTAACTTGGTGAAAATTTTGATTCGGCGCGAAATCCCTCAAACAATCAAATATATTAAAGGGCGGCAGTCGTCGTGCCGCGTCCTGTTCGATATGGGACTCATAGCGACGTATACAACGCGTGTAAAATACATTGTTTATTTACATGAAATTCGAACACGCGCTGCGCGACGACCACCGCACTTTAAATGTTTACTAGAATGAATTCACGCAACCAGCCTGAGTTGACTCGGATTCACTGTTATCAAGTCAAGTATTTTAAAATTATATTTGTTTCTTTATTTTCTTTTTGAGCGAATTTTATGATTGGAGTCTATTCTGAGCATTTAAGTGTATCCTCCAATAAATCGTGTATGCACCTTGGTATAACACATGTCGATGAGGGCGCTACACAGAGTACTACAAAAAGCGTATTTCTAACCGAGTGCATCTGAAAAAGAAAGTACGGTCTATTGTCTAAATGGTTTCCAATTACCATTTTGTATTAGAACATGTCATGTCATACGTATTATAGTTGTATTTCACTGCTCAAGTGGGTAGCTATGTACATGTATAGCTAAATGCCACTGAAAATGCTCTGGGTCAATTTATTACTACGGTAATCATTATATTTCATGATTTTGACGAATTACAACTGCCATGGTATCGTTCTTATACAACTGACAGTCACATCTCGATAAAATACGGATTGATTGAAACAGACTTTTGGTGAACATACCTTATCTGGTTACACTTTAAAGGGGGGTCCGGGCAAACAACATAATGCTCGGACCACAGCCTGAGTGTCCAGATGTAGGAGAATACAATTATACTTTTATATATACCCATAATCCTTTGCTTGAGAATCAAGATGGTGGACAACATATACTGATGAAAAGTTGAATATCTAGAGAATAAAAAATTATATTAAAACAGGTAAATTGCCTTCTCCTACATTTGTGGAGCTCTTTAATCTGGGAGCATTGCGTCCGTCGTTCACCCGGCCTGCCTCTTCAAGTTTGTTTGGGACATGGACGGATGAAGGAAAGGAAGGTGACAAGTCAACTGTTAAGGATTTATATACATTGTATATACAGTACCAAAATCTAGTCCATCTATGCCACCCCCTAAAATGCGTATGTACGAGCCCACGGAAATAGCGGACATTTTAACGTGACAGCGATACACACTCCCTATCGTCAATGCCTGTTTTTCTTTTGTTTTTTTCAACACAGGTATACTGCTGATTATATACAACTAAGTATTTTATTATCACAGATCTCGTGCTGCAAATAAGAGTTACCGACGGGGGCCTGCATATTCGAGTCACTCAAAACATTACCAGGGCGAGGCCACGCCATTGTTTGACTAACTGGTTACCACGACAACGGGACGCTGTAAACCTATTCAATGACGTCGTGTTCACTTCATATGAGGACATATCAGCTAAAGTTATAAACACGGAGGGGTTACTCTGAGGTCACATCAGTGCGAATGACCGGGCAATTTTACGATGTCATTTGTTTGGCTATTTGTATTCAACGTAACGAGGGACTCTAAGATAAGAGATACCGCGACTACGGTAAACTACTGTTGGCATTTAGGATTTAGGACAGCGTGGAAACAGAAAACTACGAAAAAGGCCGTCAGCATAGCTGACCCGATTTTTTTCGTTGAAAGGTACAGTACAGGCAAGGAATGCAATACGAGATTATTTCGGAGACGTGCTTATTATATTAATAGGCAGTGCTTCTGATACCCATAGTCAACAATTAATGTGCATAATCTGGAAGACTGGTGTATTCTGGGCGATAAAATAAATCCAGTTGTTATTTGCGGGCTCAATTAAATTAAATCAAAATGTGTAGTTCCATTTACCCTGGATTATCGTCATCGTCACAAGACAGAGAAGTGCGCCCTCTGCGGCCTCCACACGTTCGTCACTATTTTGGTTGCGCCGTTTTTTTCAGTCATAGATTACTATAATAGGGTTAATTGCGACTTTTTTTACCGAATGTAATTTTATAGTTATGCATTCGTGTACTTTGTGTAGAGGTTTTCGGATATAAAAACACTTTTTTTCGAATTTATGATGTCTTCCTTCA